CAGTGAAAATACAATGAATTAGTGATAATAACATTTATATAATCTAGAAGGTCCACCCTACGATTTAATAACGGCAGAAATTCTCTTAGGCATGCTGCGTACAAGCCTAGCACACTCGTCCGCCCTTATAGAGTACCACTCAATAATTAAGGCATTCTTTAAGGCAGTTTTTGATGTTATACTGTGTTTCTTAATCTTGCGTTTTAAAATAGCCTACATGAGCTCACATGGGATTAAGATCTGGAGACTGTGGAGGCCAATCTAACAAAGCAATGTTGTTATCTCTAAAGCAACACATCGCAGTCGCTGATTTGTGACAAGGAGCATTGTCTTCCTGAAATTGAACCCCGCCTAAATTAGTATCGCCGAAAATGCGCGTTAACGAAGGCAGAGGAATAGCTTCTAATATATTTATGTACTTTTGACTATCCATGCGACCCTCGCTGCCTCTTCCATGCTTAACCGTGGCTACCACGCAGTCTGGATGATATTCTTCCCCAACCCGTCGCCTCATGCACCTCACACCAGGTGTTCCAAATATCAGTAGAAAAAAAAAATAACGTGTTCATTCAAAATTCCTGCTATGACTGTTAATACTTTAGGACGATCTTAACTAAGCTTACATCGAAGTTTGATTGATCAGGCCACAAAACATTCGACCAATCTTCTTCCCTGAAATGTTGGTATCGGCGAGCCCATTCAAAACGATTTTTTCCTATTCTTTGCTGAGCGCCACGGCTTCTGTCGGGCCTTTCATCCTTTTAAACCTGCTTACAGAAGTCTTCTTCTAGCTGTTGGAGCACTATCTGGCTTACTAAATTCATCCGAAAGAGCAGCTGCAAGGACAGAAGAAGATTTTTTGCGATCCTTGAGAGACTCGTGTATAAGTATTCGGTCTTCTCGTTTACGGGTTGGATGCTTTCTTCCACTTTTTGATTTATTATTGTGACATTTCGTCTCCACAGATCGCCTGATAGCAACGCGCACCGCGAACATACCATCAAATTGGCAATCTCAACCTGAGATTTACCTTCTTCACTAAGAACTCGTAACTAATTTAACTTTTTTTAGGCATTTTGGTAAATATGAACTGTTTTTTATAAGACATTAAAAAAAAGAAGTCGTATTTTTGATAGCCACATTTGACAATACTTGTAGTTTAGTGGGGCGCCTAATACTTTTGGCCAAGGCTGTATATATATATATATATATATATATAGTTTTGTATGTTGAAAATCTACGTTAATTTGAAAACAATTTTCAATCGGTTAAAAGCAACTAAAATTAGAAAACTTTAATATTTTCATACCATTTAATCCATGAACAAACATTGTAAGCCAACGCCTAAGGATAGGCAACAAACTTACTTGGGCGACGCAATGCTTTCATACAACAATAAAGTGCACTGAGAAAATCTATTTCAAACTCTACGATACTTTTTTCTGGCATTTTGAGAATTTCGCTTGCAATTCCAATTCCCAAACATTTTAAACGAATTCAAAATCAATAATTTCTATATAGTCGAAACAGTTTGTGAAGGAAAATCATTTTAATATTCATATTTCATTTGATGCGTTAATATTAATTATTTTTAAAGCTGCCAATCAATGTATGAAGTTAGTCTAGTTAGTGAAAATTTTAAATATTGTTTATATAAAAATACATTTTAAAGCAAAATATTCTATTATGTTCAGAAGTTAAATTTTTCTAACAATTACTAATACAATTTTCAATATTTAATTTAGTACTAAAAGGAGAATTTTATGCTTACACATTATTTTATGTAACTGTTGGCTGGGTTAAGCTTCAAGCGGCTGCGTTCCAAGCTACGAGTCCAATATTGGCATACTCTGTCCAACATATCGGCCGGTATCTCACAAATAAATTTTGCCGCACTGGCTTTTAGTGCGTCTATTGCGTGCGTGGGCTTGCCGCTATGGATGAAAGCCTTAACAAAGCCTCACAAAATATAGTAAAGATACATTAAATCACTTAACCTAAGCTAAAACGTGAAACAAACAGTGAACTCGCTTCTCAATTGTTGCCTTTATACTGCATTTGTGTGACATGTGGCAATGTCTAGTTAAAACCGAATCACAGCCTAACCCAAATCTTCCAATCCTTTCCATTAACTAAACCAAACGCAAGATGTATTGTTAGTTGCTTTAGTGTTACTGATTTCTCTTCATCTATGCATTTAACAAAAAATGAGCTTCGTTGCTGAGGCCGCTACGAAATGCATTCGGTGCGAAATTTGGTCACAAGATACCTTATGGCCGGATCAGATGATGTATAAGCCGAACGTAAAATGAAAGAAATGCACTCTACACTTTCGAAAGGGTTATTAGTTTTGACTAACGGTTATATTATGAGCCAGACTGAACACTTGTAAGTAAGGGTGATATAATAAACAAAACCCGTCAGAGATATCAAATACAGTGTTGTGAAGAAGAAAGTTGTTAAAGAATATGTAAGAAATTCATTTCTTGCAGTTCGAAAATTGGCAAATTTCTCAGTAATAACACGCTAAACATTCTCTTTCAAGACGTACATAACCTCACATAAGTAGTCTAGCACGAGCCGACGCAAAAGTTTCCTTCAATAAATTGATTGTTTTGTAAGCTATATGACATATAGTGCCATGTTTTTGGAACCAAATGTCGTCTACATAAACATCCTACACTTCAGATACGAAGAACTCACTAACAATGGAAAATATTGGGTTGCCCAAAAAGTAATTGTGGATTTTTTAAAAGAAAGTAAATGCATTTTTAATAAAACTTAGAATGAACTTTAATCAAATATATAATTGCCATTTTGTTCGATAACCTTTTGCCATCTTCCTGGCAAATTTAGTATTCCACGCTCATAGAACTTCTGGCCTTTATCTGCAAAAAACTGAACCAAGTGCGATTTTATAGCCTCATCATTGCCGAAAGTTTTACCATTTAAGGAGTTCTGCAAAGATCGAAATAAATGGTAGTCTGATGGTGCAAGGTCAGGGCTATATGGTGGATGCATCAAAAGTTCCCAGCCAAGCTCACTCAGTTTTTGGCGAGTGACCAAAGATGTGTGCGGTCTAGCGTTGTCCTGGTGGAATATGACACCTTTACGATTGACCAATTCTGGTCGCTTCTCCTTGATGGCTGTATTCAATTTGTCCAATTGTTGACAGTAAACATCCGAATTAATCGTTTGGTTCCTTGGAAGCAGCTCAAAATATACGACACCCTTCCAATCCCACCAAACAGACAGCATAACCTTCTTTTGGTGGATATCAGCCTTTGAAGTGGTTTGAGCTGGTTCACCATGCTTGGACCATGATCGTTTTCGACTAACGTTGTTGTAAACAATCCATTTTTCATCTCCAGTTATGATTCGTTTTAAAAACGGATCGAATTCATTGCGTTTAAGGTGCATATCACAAGCGTTGATTCGGTGTGTTAAATGAATTTCTTTCAATACATGTGGTACCCAAATATCAAGCTTTTTCACCAGTCCAAGACTTTTTATGTGATAATGAACGGTTGATTTTGGTATATTTAACTTCTCTCCTATCTCACGCTCAGTTACATGACGATCCAATTCGATTAATGCTTTGATTTGGTCATCATCAACTTCATTTGGCCGACCTGAACGTGGCTCATCTTTAAGTGAAAAATCTCCAGAACGGAATTTGCGAAACCAATTTTGACACTGTCTTCCTTTTAAGGCTTCATCACCATACACATCTCGTAACTTTTTAGCAACCTGCTCCGCGTTTTTTCCTTTACGGAAATAATAAAGTAAAATATGACGAAAATGCTCCTTTGTGGGCTCCATATTAAAATTGACGCCAAACAAACAAATGTAAACAAAATTTCGCGCACTTTTTTTCTAAAGCAAGCTAAAAGTAACAGCTGATAACTGACAGAAGAAAGAATGCAATTACAGAGTCACAAGTCGTTGAAAAAATTTGTCAACGCCGACTATATGATAAATCCGCAATTACTTTTTGGGCAACCCAATAGATCATGTTCACTGCTGTCCATATGTAGAGCACACCAAAATGTGAATTTTTAAGGATTTAACAGCGTTTCAACAGTGCCTTGTAGATTATAATCATTCCAAATGTGACAATTTTGTATGTTAACCTACCCATTCCACTAAAGGTAAGCTTCAGCGCTGAACAAAATCTTCTTGTGAAATCGGGATCAAAGTTGCCACATGGAAAACACACATCTAGAAAACACCATTTACTTCGTGCATTGGTCAAATTTAAAATCAGAAAAATATAAATATTTTTTATTAAAATTTCATATTTAAACTTTATTTGTTCGCTAAAATTTGTTCGTTATAATTTTTAATTTAATACTTATAAAATAAGGAAACATAAAAAATTTTCTTATAAAAAAATAAAAAAAAAATTATTTAAATTATTAAACGAAAAAAAGGATTCAATTAATTTTTGTTAAAAATGGAAGTATGCGTGTAAAGAATATTTGTGCGTATAAATTTTTGTTAGAAAAAATTATTTAAATTTGTTTTACTTATTATAGCGAAATTTTATACGACGATTTTTGTATTTTTAAATTCTTTCATAGCAAAATATGAGCGCAAACGTCGAGTAAGGAAATTAACTTTATTGATAATGATTTAAAATTTTTTTTTGAAGATTGCTTTTATTCCCTAAAGAGCTTGAGTTACAAAATTTGTTTTGGGATTTTTTCATTAATTGCAAATATTTAATTTTCGTTTGCATTTAATATTTTCATTTAAACTTTTTATTTATTATAAAAAAAATTTAAATTTTAGTATTAATTTTTTAATTTACTTTTTACATAAAGTAATTGCATAAAATTTCTAATTTATTAATGTGTACACAAATCTTATGGCAAGATTTTTTTTAATTCAATAAAATTCCCATTTTATAGTTATACATACATACAATACAAACAAAACGCTCCTTAAATGCATTATAAATACAAAATTGTAGAATTATTTTTAATATAGCACACAAAACGTATTTTTTAATAATTTATTTCTAGTACTTAAAATTCAGTTTTTCTAATTCGAAAGCTTAACACTGGACATTAAATTAATTAAATTGGTTAACTAAATCGAAATTAATTAAATTAGCACTTAATTTAGTATTAAATTAGGCGCTACTTGGCTATTCTATTTAGTACAAAAGCAAAACTAACAACTAAACGCTACTAGAATTAGGACACAGACCTTGATACAAGGCGTCAAAACACAATGGGTCTTAATAAGAAATTATTTTAGGTCTTAAGCTACGAAGTCTAAGTTACGATTATGTACTAAGAGTGTGTTGTGTGTGCTGTGTGAAGTGCGAAATCTAATTATCCAATTATTAATAAACTGAGGCATTAAATCTTGCCAACAGATGGATTCTCACAAATATTTGGCAGTAGGAGTAAAAAAGGAGTGAATGAATTATAAACAATTTTCAAATCAATGCTGTACAAAATGATTTTTTTTTAAGTTTAGATAACGGTAATAAAATCAACAAATATTAAATAAATACAGAAGGTGGTATTGGAAGACATCATAATTTTAGAAATTTTTTTATAAACTTATTTTTGTAAATTTCGTTTTTTCGAAATAAAAATTACATTTTAAAATTTCTAAATCGCCACGATAGAGGCGAAAATCCTAAATAGACTCCTTAAGTAATTACAGTATTCCTTCCCTTTTGAGAGTCCTAATTAATGGCAGTAAATTCTATAACTTTCCCTTTAAATAAACTAAAAAACTAAAAAGAAAAATAAAACTATTTGCTAAAGCTATACAAATACACTACATCACGTATTTAGCTTTTACTTTCTCACATACGGAAAATCTCATATCCCTTAGCTTACCCTATGCTACCTATACTCCTCCCCCATTCCCTCTTCAAGCAATCATACATATTCCTCAGAGTTCTTTTGTGTATTTCCAGGCATACAAAGCGTTGACTGCAGTTGCTGCTGCTCGCCCACCGCATCTGGCAGCTCGGTGATGTCTTTTATCACACCCATTAAACTCTCGAAATTCGGCCCCCAATTAAGCAGATAATTCCAACCCAAGCTCGGCTGTGATGGTGAGCCCGGCCCGTTTAATTGTCGATAAATGCCACCCATACGTGTGGAGATGTCATCGTCGCTGGCGACTAGAGTGCTGAGTGAGCCACGAAAGGACGAGTCGAAGCCGTCGTATGAATGTGGCGGCATTGGCGGCACTTTACCCATGCTCGGTCCGACGCCGTCACCGCTCATTGCTCGCCCCACCGCGTTGCGTTCTTGCCGATCATCCGGCACCGCCTTGCTTGTGGGATATTTTGCATCACCATTCAGACTATTATTATCATACTCGATTTCTGAGCAAGTGAAACTATCGTTGCCACTCTCATCGGTTGAGCTGGAACTGTGCGCATCCACATCGGTGTTGTGCAGTCCGCCACCAAGCGCTATGTGATGTGCACCGCCGGGTACACGTGGCGCTTCGCTGCTGGAGGATACCGCATCGAGTGTGGACACCAAGCTGGATGTGCGTGGGCGCACATTTAGACGTTCGATCTCTTCAGCCGTCAGTCCAATGGGCGCTTGTGCTGGCGATTGCGCTGAAACGCCGGGCTTTTGACGACTCGCGCTGGAACTTTGGCCGGATAATTGTGACATTACGGGACTATTTAAGCTGCGTTCACTATTGCTGTGCAGCGCGTCCTTGCCGACACCCCCCGAGCTGGAGGTGGTGGCGAGTAGCGCGCTTTGCAGCGGCTTGCCGGAGATGTCGTGCAGTGTAAGTATGCGCGGCTGTTGCGAGCTCAATTCGGAGCTGGGTGAGAGACGCGCTAATGGTGTGCTCTGATGTGGGCGTGGTGTGCTTGTGGGTGGTGGTGGTTGACTAGTTTGTGGTGGCACACGTGGCACGAATGGACCACCGACACCGATGCCGTGACGTGGTGAATGCCGGTGCTGTTGTTGTGTGGCCGTCGCCTGGTGCTTGTGATGCGTGTAGGAGGCGACGGGTGCTGGTGTCGCCTTATATTTGCGTACGCCACCTGCCTCGCGATACCCCTTGTAGTGGTACACGATGTCAATGTCTGATGGTGCTATCGAGCTTGCATTCTCCAGGTCATAATGCTCAGGATACTCCGAACCCAAGTCAACGGAGCTGGCATGGTCGTGCGGATGGTGCGATTGACTGGGCGGTGGTATCGGTGGATGATGTTCGTCACGTAGTGGCGGACTCTTGCTAACCACCTCTCTCTCGATGATATCTGGACGTTGTGGCCGCTGCTGTTGATGTTCATTGGAATTGATTTCTCGCTCTTTGAACTTCTTCGAAATAAGCTCAGGTCCAACCATATGATGACCGCCTACGCCGCGTATTAAGTCACCACTGTCTACGTGATAGCTGACTGGTCCATCGCCTGCATGTACACCTCTACCTCGGGACAACACATGATCTGCTTGATTTTGCGAAGTTGCAGCGCCACCGCTATGCTTCATTTTAAAGCCAGGCACGCCACAGCTTAAGCTGCCAATCTTCTCTTGTTTTCCACGGAAGCGATAAATGACGTAAGAACCCAAAATTGCAACAACAAGTATCACGAAGAAGACAATCACGAGTGTAATACCGATGCTGACCGGATCGGAGGCTTGTGCTGCGCCAATACCCAAATCGCCCGTGCATCCATAAGCCACTTTGCCGCGCATTAGTACCTCACTGAAGACGCTGCCTGAGCCGTTGAAGGGCTGCACTTCGTTGTTGATTGTGAAATTGGCAATGCAGCCCTCGAAGTTGGCGGGCGTACTATCTTGTGGGTAGTGCTCGCGTCTCACGCCTGCTATGGAGAGCACCGTCAAATATGGATCCAGATAGTCATGAACGCCGGCTGAATCAAGCTCATCACCCACCTTGTTGCCGTCTATCAGCAAACGTAGCACACGGTTCGAGGTGTAGAGTGTGAGATTATGCCACTTCCCGTCGTTCAATTTATCCGGCTGTTGGATGGTCATATTCACAACGCTGTTCTGCTTGGAGTAGTACACTAACTGGCTGGACTTCAGCTCAACGGCGGTGTACTGTTTATTTGTGGCCGCAAATAATATCAAACCATCCTCTTTGTAGGTGCGGAAGAGCACACTCATAGACTTTGGCAGGTCAATAACTTGAGCCAAGGCAGTTAAGTTGTCGCTATTCACAGTGAAGCGTCTGCGGCGTGCAACATCGTATGACCATATATTGCTGGCAGCATACAAGTTGTCCAGGAGTTGCATGCGACGATGCTTCTCGGATATCTTGAATTCTACAAAAGCGCCATTCGTGAGGGTGATGGGGTCCAAAGAGCTGTAACAATCTGGAGAGAGCAGTTTGGCGCCACACTGACACATCGCTGTGTGCCAGCGATCCATGCAAGTACCGAAGTCGCCGCAAAGTGAGAGCGCCGGATCATTGGGTAAACTGCGCTGACACGGACCGCCGTTAGCATTGCGATTGCAGGTGGGCAGCACATCACGTTGTTTGAGTGGGTTGGTCAAATTCAAGGCGCGTCCGTTCACCGATACGCTGTGCACACAACCAACAAGGTCGTCTGTGTGAATTTGCCCGGGACGCTCGAGCACCGGATCCGCGGATGCGAGTCCACCAATGAGTAGCGGTTGCTTGTTGAAGTTCAAAGTACTGTTGTGAAAGAGTAAAGTGAATAATTAGTTGAGAGTTAAGTAAATGAACTGTAATAAACTCACCCAATTGGACCCACATCCTGTGCGTAGCAATTAGCATCACCAGGTCGACAGTCTTCGCACGCATCGCCGTTTTCCGTGCACTTGGCCACACTCAGCGACATGACGCGCCCATTGCGTGTGGCAGTTACTTTATGCCACTGACCGTCCGCCAAGCTCTCTTTGCTATTCGCACTCACTACGACGGTTGTTATAGCAGTGCGTGTGCCACCGAAGGAGAAGAACGCCTTACCCTTCACAATCTCAATCGCGATGAAATCTGAACGTCCTCCCGTCTGCATACCGTAGTTGTATAGTAGCAAACCATCCGGCTTAGTTGTGGCAAAGATAATTGAAATGTCATTAGTTGCTGCATCCAGCGCGGGAAACGACATGTAGGAGAGCTCCTGAAAACCGAATGTAGCGCGCTCGCAGTGTCTGCCGTAGCGACCATCCGCACAGCTGCATTTATAGCCTGGTTTCAAGCTGACACACTGTCCGCCATGCAAGCAGGGGTTGGGGCGGCATGAATCGGATACATGCTCGCACTGATTGCCGCGATAACCAGGGCGGCAGAGACAGAAGAATGAAGCGCCATCGGGACTGTGCATGCACGAGCCTCCATTACGACAGGGGTTGCTGGAACATACATCGCCACGTTGCAGCTGGCAGTTTTTACCTTCACGGTTCGGCGGACAAATACACTGAAAGTCGTAGGCAATGCGTCGACATTGAGCGTTCGCTTCGCACGGATTTGGCGAGCAGGGATCCTGTTGCTTGTCGCACTGTTGGCCTGTATAGCCATCTGGACATTTACAGCTGTAGTCGTGTGAGACACGTGGTCCACTGAAGATGAGCGATGGACTGTCTATGATGTTCAGAGAGTGTAAGCTTTCCTGCACGCGTATCTCGGCGCTACACATGCCACCATTTTCGCAGGCACCTGCTGTGGCTGCAGTGCAAGGACTGTAACCGATTATAACGCCACCAGAATTTTGCAGCAGACGATCCATTGAATCGCGCTTCTTGTTCAAACGCTCGATTATATAGCGCGGCGTGCGATAGGCCAGATTCGAGCTGCGCGCTGCTAGTATTAGCTCTAGATCACCGTCCTCTGCACCTGTATTGCGTATACTGTAAAGTAACAGCTCATCGCTGGGCTCAAATGCCGATTTAAGTAGTTCCAAGAAGTTGCGGTAGTGCGTGCTCAGGAAGTGTTCTGCTGTCATTTCAGACACCAGCAAGGTCACAGATTGCGCCACCGCGTCACTATCGAAGTTCTGAAAGCCCAAGGTTACAGTGGATACAACGTCATTGTGTTTACCATCATTACCCGAAACGGTGTATGAGTAACCGTTGACGGACGTCTTGTGCGTTGTGTGCAGGTCACAAGCGTTGGGTATTGTGAGCACACCGAGCGGACTGGACTGCGCATTCGCCAAAATCTTACATCTATAGTCACCAGTGATGTCCGGGTCGTTGGGATGCACATCCGCTACTTTACCGATTGGTATCTCGTCGTTATACGTGTTGAGTAGCACATGCACCATACGCGGCGTAGATGGGCTATCATTCTGATCGAGCACTTTGATTGTGAGCACGTGTTGTGCTCGTTGTCTTGGCTCACCATTATCCTCAACTTCGATGGCAGCCTCCAATGTGGGTGTGGCCTCACGATCGTAGCTTTTCGTTGACTTCACTAGGCCGGAGTGTTTGTCGATTGTGAGGAAAGCTTTGTGCTTACCCCCAACGAGATAGTAAGTGAAGGGACCGCCATTCGGTGGCAGATCTGGGTCACTGGCGGCGAGCGTCATTATAGAAGTGCCCGCCGGTTCATTTTCCGAGATATAACCAGTCAAGCCACTGGCCTCGAAGATAGGACCATTATCATTTACATCCTCGAGCTCGATTTTCACCGTTGTAGTGCCTGTTTGTGGTGGCACGCCAGTATCGATTGCGCCTACAATTAGACTAAATACGGGCACGGTCTCGCGATCCAAAGCACGCGCAGTTTCTATGTCGCCACTGAATGGGTCGACTTTGAATGTTTGATTTAAGTTGCCGTTGATAATAGAGTAGCTGAACTGGTTGTTTTGCATGCGCACATCCTTGTCCACGGCCTTGACGTTGGCGATCTTCGTGCCGACCGGTGCTGCCTCTGAGACGCGTGTGGTATACAGTGGCTTCAAGAACTCCGGTGGATCATTGCCATCCTGTATGGAGATGATAACCTGCGCCTCGTCCGTGTCATTACCGCGTATACCACCATAGTTCTTCGCCATAACGGTAAGCACAACACGGTTTTGTGTTTCGCGATCAAGGTGCCGTGATACGTACATTATTCCTGTCATGGCATTGATGGAGAAACCTCTGTCGTTACTGGAACCCACTAATAGGTAGTAGATTTTGCCATCCTCGCCGGCGTCTTTATCGGTTGCTTGTATGGAGCCAACGGAGGTGCCGACCTCTGCCGACTCCGACACATCGAAGTGGAAAACGGGTTGCACAAACTGTGGGTAGTACTCGTTGACACCGGTGATGTGCACGATAACCATAGCGGTGCTGTGCATGGGTGTGTCTGGGTTAGCAGCCATTATTTGCAAGTTGTAATCGCGTCTTTCCTCGTAGTCGAATGTCACCGAGGAAACGATCTCACCCGTGCTCGAATTGATCTTAAACAGATTCTTACCCGTGCCGCTGGTGATGGTGTAGCGTATGATGGCATTCTTTGGCGAGTCCTTATCGGTCGCATGCGCCTTGAAAACAAATGTGTTTGGTGGTCGATTTTCGGGAATGAAGGCGTGATACTCTGTCTGGTTGAAAAGCGGCGGGTTGTCGTTGATGTCCGTTACGATTACAGTAAGCATTGCTACTGCCTTCTTGGGCTTATAGCCCAGATCTTCAACGGTTATGTTAAGATAATACTCCTGTATGAGATCGTAGTCCAAAGGCTGTAGTATCGTCACAGCGCCAGTTTCCTTATTTATATTGAACTCTTTGCGCTCATTGCCACCGGAGAAGTAGTAGGTCAACATGCCATTTGGACCCTCGTCTTTGTCTGACGCAGTAACCGTAAGTATGGTGGACCCAATCGGTTCGTTTTCTGGCACTATAACCTGGTGGCTGAGCGCATTGATCATGGGTGCATGTTTGTTCTCGCCAGTTACTACGATTTTGACACGGGTCTCATCTGCCAGTGGTGGAACACCACGATCCGTAGCACGCACTGTGATCACGAACGCGGTATTCGCTTTCACGTTGAGTGCTTTCGTTACAGAAATCCAACCATCATGCTTGCTCACCGTAAAGTAATCGGACGCATTGCCATTCAACAGCACGTAGTCGATTTCAGCGTTTACGCCATAGTCGAGTGCGTCCACAGCGTGAACCTTCAGTATGCGCAGACCGCTCACAGCATGCTCCGGCACTGGCGCGAGGTAAGTGGACTTTTCGAATTTCGGTGGATTGTTGTTGGCGTCTACGATATTGATATTCACCAGACACTCTGAATTCAGCGGTGGCTTGCCATTGTCGGTGGCCAATACGATCATTGAATACATATTTTCCGGTGAGCTCTCGTGTTGCGAGTGTTTGTACTTCATTGTGCGCTTGCTCAGAATCTCACCGGTCGCAGGATCGATGGTGAATAGATCGGATGGATGTTGAAGTGAGTATGAGATGAGCGAATTCGGTCCTTGCTTATCGCGATCGGTAGCGATCACTTGTCCAACGAAAGCAACGGAGCGTTGCAGCTCCGGGAAATTGAAACTGTAATAGCTGTGCTCGAACTCGGGCGCATTATCATTCTGATCTTGTACGGTTATCGTTATGGGTGTCTCAGAGCGCCAAGCGCCATCGGAGGCGACTATCTTCAACAAATACTCGTCTTGCTGCTCGCGATCCAGATAACCAGCGACCGTCACATTGCCACTGATGGCGTCTATCTTGAATTTCTCACCCGGATTTTCCGTAAAACTGTACGTAGCATTCGCATTAGCACCTATATCCAGATCCGAGGATGTGACTTGTATAACAAAGCTTCCAATGTTGGCATTCTCTGTAACATTAACCGAAAAAAGACGTGTAAACTTCGGTGGGTTATCATTTTTGTCCAGTAAGGTTATTTGCACCGTGGCAGTGCCGGTTAATGGTGGCATTCCTTGATCCAACGCCTCCACAAGCAACTCATATGAGCCGATCTCTTCACGATCCAAACGCATTGTGGTGTAAATTTCGCCAGAGTCCGAGTCGATTTCAAATGTGCCTTCGAAATCGTCGACCAGACGATAAGACAGTTCGCCATTATCGCCTGAATCGCGATCGGTGCCATGCACCTTTACAATGAATTGCGGTGGTGGTTCCTCTTCAAGTACCTCCGCATAGTAGGTCATCTTATCTATAACAGGCGCGTTGTCATTTGCGTCCGTAACATTGATGGTGAGCGGCATAACGCTGCGTAAACGTGGTTGATCCGAGTCTGAGGCCTCTATCCATATCTCATAAGTATGCGCAGTTTCATAGTCCAGCCCATCCTTACCGACCGTCACAACGCCGGTGCTGGCATCGATGTACACAGCTGCACCAATATTGCCACCCGCAATGGCATACCTGATTTTACCCGCGGCACCCTTTTTCGGCGACTCCGCAGCGATAGTCGTTATAACCTTGCCCTCCAGCACATCTTCGGACAACATAAATTGTGTATTTGCCAGTGAGGAGAAGACCGGAAAGAGTATGCCCGGCCGTATTAGCACAGTGAGGTCTGCGCTCGATGATCTCGACTCGGCGCCTTGATCGATAGCGTGTAGTACTATGCTATAGATAGTGTCGAAACTCGTATTTTCACGAGCGCCCAACGGCAGCTTCGCCTTAATCACACCACTCTTCGAATCAATGATGAACTTATCAATATCCTTGCCACTTATATTGTACGAAATCAGCGCATTCACGCCATCATCCAAATCGGTTGCACGCGCGCCAAACACAAACTCACCCGCCTTTATGCGATCGGGCACATTCACATTAAAACTAGCCGCATTAAAACTGGGCGTATTGTCGTTAACATCCAGCACAGTGATTGTTAGATTGACCGCGCTTGCGCGTGGCTCCGTCGCTGAGCTGTCTTGCGCCATCAACGTTAGATAGTACACAGCGGTATCTTCGCGATCAAGTACAGTGGCTGTGGTGATTTCACCCGTCTCCGAGTTGATATGGAATTTGTCGATTTTCTCACCGAGCAACGTAAAGCGCAACTTGGCATTAGCGCCGCTATCCTTATCTGTCGCCACGGGCTGTAGTACCTTAGTGCCGGTGGGTAGATTCTCCTGTACGCTAGCCAAATAAAAGGGGCGCGCAAACTCCGGACTATGATCGTTCATATCTTGGACAATGACGCGCACAATGCCGGTGCCGGTGAGTGGTGGAGAACCTGTGAATTGAGAAGAGAGAGAGAGAGGCAGAAAGGGAGTGAATGTTAGTTAAGCGAATTAAAGAATTGAAATGATATAATATTTTTTGGACAAATCTTAGATAGCATAGACCAAGAAACAAACGAATATAATTTTCGTGGCATGCTTGGAGTAAAATTAAATCGGATTTTTTTTTTCCAATTTTTTTCCGCATGCTGTGGGACGGAATGAGCCTAGATATGTGATTTTAAATAGACCGGACGCAGCCGCAGGAATTATCTTGTACTGTTTGCACAAAGCACAAAGAAAAGTGCTCAGCTTACAAGCTTCTTCGTTATCAAGATAAAAACTACGTAAGCAAATGCTCATCTATAACAAACAGCAACAAACACACACACACATACACGCGCGTGCGCACGCCTTGTGACCGAACTGAAACAATACATTTTACGCGTTCTAATTTAACGAGCAAATTGAAATATTGCCATAAAAGGCTGAGCCAAGGCATGCAAGCAAGGCAATATGCAAAATAAGTGCTACAAACACACATACATACAGACACACTCACACGGCTACGGCTAAATGTATCATAAAACACAGATTTTCCTACATTTCAAATTCCTGTGATGAGCAAACTCACTGTAGTTGTTGTTATTTTTTTTTCATACATATATACTTACATATATGCATACATACATACAAATATGCGCTTGCATTTAGTCCACACTATTCGGTGGTGGTCCCTTTTGGTATGTTATTGTATATATACATGTATATGTGTGTATATGTATATATGTATGTACGAGTATAAATATATTTGAGCTGTGATTGTTTTTGTGCGCTTTGGCGCGGGTGCTTTCTTAACTCGCGCGTAGCAATCGCACAGAGCGTCGAGCTCTAATTAAACTATCCATGTTACCCGGTAGCATGATGGTGCCAAAAAAGGGTTGCCACATTGTATGGGCAATTTGCAATTTGCTCCGAACGAACGGTAAATGTTGATTGCTAGCGCAGTGCAAATAACGGTCATGACAATTATGCATATTTTCCTAGTTGTTTGGAATTTGTTTTTTTTTCTCTCCTTCTGTGTTGAGCTGACCAAAGGAAGCACGTGTTAATGCATGGAAATATGCGAAAAATAACAATTTTCTAGCGAAATCTGGAAAATCTTTGGTCACGCATCTCAATCTCAAAGCTTGTGATAATCATTCCCTTTAATAATAACCGTTAAGAATGGGTGCAGAAATAAATGATCACCAAAACCAGCAGTCAGTGCAGTTCATTACCCCACGCGCTGGGCGTGTAGTCGTCTATAGAATCTTTTTGCAATAATTTAATTAAAAATTATGCAGAGAGCTGAATTTTTGTACAAAATACATACACATCCTGCCGAGCCTTTCCTACAAAAATGTCTTAGTTTTCTCTTTATCTGCTTTAATGGCTTTGACAGCGCTTACGCGATTATAAACGAGTTAACAAGGGCGCGTCATTCAGGGCACCAAACAGGGCGCTAATTGGAAATACTAGCCACAGCCAGGTCCATGTCTATCTGATCCTTCCACTGGAGTGAAGGTCTTTCTCTTCATCTACGGGTGGTGCACTGAGATCTTTCAAAGCTGCCGTAGCCATTCCTACCCATCTGAACCACATGACGTAGTCAGCCTACAGCTTCTCGTGTTTCATCAGCTGCGGTATTCGCTGCTGCTAACGCGCATTGGACCGAAACCATTCAATCAAAAACACATAACACCGACTTTTTCAGATCTTGTCGTCGTCCATGCCTCCGCAGCATACAGCAGGACGGGAAAGCTGAGCAACTTGTAGTTTTTTTTTCTTTTTTCCTCACAAGAAGACTTTACTTTTCAATTGACTACTCAGTGCAAAGTAGCCCTGTTGGCAAGAGTGATTCTGCGTTGGATTTCCAAGCTGAAGTTATTGTTGGCGTAAATGTTGGTTTGAAGATAGGCTAAGCTATCTACGTCTTCAAAGTTACCACCACAAAGAAGGATGAGTGGGCTGAGTAGCAAATGCGATGACAGTTTGCTTGATGACAGTTGGTTTTGCTCTCGTGTACTATCAGACCCATGCACTTCATTCCTTAACCAGTCTTAAGAAAGCAGAAATAACGAAGCGGTTGTTGAGGCCGATAATGTCAATATCATCTCCATACCTCAGCAGCTGTACACTCTTAAAGAACATTGCATCATCTCTACTCAGCTCCGCAGCTCATACTATTTTCATGACCAATAAATGATAGAAGTCACACAAAACCTAGTTTGGTATCGAGCAAATTGAACAGGTCCTTCCCAATCCTTATGGAGCTTTGGGTGTTGTTTACACAGTCGTACACATTTCGCGGGTGTAAATTGTTTAGATATAGCGAGGAAAAGGCAACTTTTTTCGTGCTATTGAAGGCAGCTTTGAAATCGATTAAGATTTGGCGCATGATGAATATCTGGTTGATTTAACAGGTCTAAAGCCACATTAGTAAGGTCCAATCAGTTTGCTGTTGGTGAGTTTTAGTCATTCAGAGATTATTGGCGCAGACTGTGGGGTCCCCCATCTGGTGTATTGGACAGAGCAGAATTTTTCCTTCATCCGACGAAATTTTGCAAAGAAGTTGACGAACGAACTTACGCATCTTATTTGAACAGAACTTACAGCATTGTTGTTCTTCAAACAAACGGCTCATATAGGAAATACTTCATAGTCGGGCCATGCAACATCTAGTGGTTTGCAGCAAAAGAAACCGGCGAATTTTCATACAGCCGTCTGTAGTGTTGGCAAGTTTTTGCAACAGCAGATATTCTTAGCTCACTTTAGAAAAAAAAGTACGCGTAATTTTGTAACGAAAACGATCATGGCCCCAGCATGATGAAGCGCGACAAATCACTTCAGCGACTGATATTCACCGAAAGAAGGTTATGCTGTCAGCTTGGTGGGATTGGAAGGTTGTGGTATATTTTGAGCTGCTTCCAAGGCACCAAACGATGAATTCAAATGTACACTGTGAACAAATGGCCAAACTGTATACTTCTATCAACGAGAAGTGGCCAGAATTGGTCAATCGTAAAGGTGTTATATTCCACCAGGTCAATGTCAGACCGCTCAAATCTTTCACTACCCGCCAAAAATTGAGAGAGTTTGGCTGGGAACTGTTGATGCATCCACCATATAACCCTGACCTTGTACCATCAGACCACCTTTGTTTGAAGAATGGCATGGAATGGTCATTCAACCAAATGGAAATCACATAATTGTCTAAAGCGTATTATGAAATTAAGAAATAATTATTTTTTTTTGTATTAAGTAATCGCCGGTTTCTTTGGGGCAACCCAATATTTATTATTTACGGCATGCATTGATCCTTCACCAGCAGCCCATATGAGGTGATCTCTTCGCGCATTGTAGATTTCACCAGAGTCCGAGTCAATGTGTCTTCGGGTCTTAATGAGTCACAATCAGCATGCGATCCAGGTGTGGCTCAACCCTTTATACTCTGGTTTACAAGCTCAATACTTAAAATCTAAAGAACTTGTGGGATTAATTTTGTAGAATAAAGAATCAGAATCCGATCAGCGCTTAGTATTACCATCAAGTTACTCTGGGAAGTTCGGATTCCTATTCTACTTTGCTTTCAGGTTTAGATACGGATTAATATTTTCCTTTAGAAATAATCTACAATGAAATTAAGACTGAGACTGAGACTATTAAAAATCTAATAAAAAATGGTAATAAATGTGAAAAAAATTGGATTTTTGTAAAAATTTCGATAATAATTTCCTCGATGTGGGTATGTATGTAAGTGCACATTCTTCCACTATTTCCACAGCAAAACGGCGGCACTCATTTGCGACGCAACAAACACTTATGGTCACTGAGCTCCAAGTGGCGAGAATTCAGCGCTGATAAACGATCACACACGAATTGGATGGCGAACGCCAAACATACTCGTACACATATGTATTGTGAGTGAGGCGAGCGATATGTAAAAGGAAGCATAAAAAGGCAAAAAATGAGAAATAGCTAAAGTTTGGAAACGCATTTTGTGCTTGACAAACACTTGTGGGCTGGGGATCAAGACGGGGCGGGGCGAGGCCAGCATAAGGTTGGTTGGCTGGGAAGTCGGGTGGGTTGCTCGCTGCGCTTTGTCTTGCTGCTTAACCATAGACTGTTAGTTGCGGCTTGCGAGTAGACAATATCCACACACAAGCACAACAATTGGTCGGTAGGTTGGTAGTGGCACGCGGATGCGCATGCGTTTGAGACGCACGCACAACCCGACCTAGCAAACTGCAGGTGCTGTTGATTGTTAGCGTGGCTGCTGTTGCTGCTGCGGCCGCAAAGGCCGCTGCTGATGTGCGATTTCAGTGTGGAAGGCGCAACTAATCGAGCACAAAAACAGAGTGGTGTCGGGAAAAACGCTTGTTAGTTGAACGCGCAACGAAATGCTGGAAAAGCAAAGAAAAAAAGAAGCAAAGAAAAATGAAGGAAAAATTCGTTGAGAAGAAATGTGTGCAGAAATTTTGTCAGGCAAAAAAAAAAAAGTACTCGAATCTAAGCAGCGCTGGCGGGCAATTGCGTTTGGCTGTTGGTAAAGAAAGAGAGAGGGGGCAGAAGCGCGAACACTGAATGGTTTGCTGCTGCACAAGAAGTTGGTTAGTCGTCGTCGTCGTTTGGAGACGTTTGGTAAGCGTCGCTTGAATGCCTCAAAGCCTGGCTGCCTGGCAGCTTGGATGCCTGAGTGGCTGAGTGGCTGGCATGTGTGATAAATCTCGTTCGAATTTCTATTTCTTTACTACCAGTATTATAAATAAAAAGCTTGTTAGACGCTGCATACACACACACACACATACATACACCCCGAGGATATACACATACTTACACGTTGGACAGCGGTAGCTTGCGGTAACAAAAGAAAAGTTAAATGCTAGAAATTGTTACGCATCGGAATGGTGTTTGCAATGCAGTTACAGCAATTACAACAACAGTAGCAACAACAACAAAAATAGTGTTAAAA